CCGGAAGCGTGAAGGTCTGACGGATGCCTCGCGCACGACAGTAGGCACTCAGGAGGCCAGAGGAGAACTCTCCGCCTCTGTCCGAGTGCAGACGCAAAACAGGGAAGTCAGAGCCAAAGCTCCTCCGAAGCTGGAGACGAGCTGCGCGGATCCAGTCGATCAACACCTCAGTGACCTCACCCTTACTGCGCAAGGGGAAGACTGTGGTGTAACGCGAGTAGTCGTCAACCACCAGCAGGAAGTAGCGCTCCTGACCCTGTCCCCGGACGCGGGCTGGGCCCCACACGTCCATGTGAAGCGTCTGCAACGGGGCCTCTGTCGGAGGAAACTGGGAGGAGTGAGGGGCAGCACGCTGGCGCCCCTCGACACAGGGGACACAGGTAGGGCCAGGGCCCGGAGGAAGGGGAGGGAGAGACCGGGGAAGACCAGACACAAGGACTCGCGAGGCCATGCCTCTGAGCCGAAGCAGAGAGGGGTGGCCAAGGCGGTGGTGCCAAAGGAGGGTCTCGTGAGACAGACGACGACACGAGCAGGGGGCAGACTCAGGACCAGACCTGGACGCTGCAGCAAACACCTGACCAGACAAAGGGACCCTACCAGACTCAGTACCTGGAGGAGAAGCAGTGGTCAGTGTGTACAGGCTCGACCCTGGCCGACGTGTAAACGTAGCCAGGTGGCGACCTGTATCCGCCTCCGTGCAGTGGGTCACCCGCTGACGAGCAGGGGTGAACTGGTGGACACCCGCATCCTGGAGGTCAGCACCACTCACCAAGTTCGTCGAGAACGAGGGGAGGTAGAGACCAGTCAGGGTGCCAGAGGGGGCCGCCGGACACGGGAGGACAGTGGAGAAGTGAGACAGGACAGGCCCCCCAGAGGGGTCAGCCAGGGACACCGCAACCGGCCGACTCAGCGGCGTGAGAGTGGTGCGGTCCCTAAAGAAGGAGCGAGACGCTCCAGAGTCAAGGGTGAAGGTGTGAGAGGCCGAAGCCGACACAGTACCTGAGAGGGCAGACTCACCAGCACCTGAGAGCACAGACGCACTGGCACCTAGAGCAGCAGCCTCACTAGTACCTGGCGCGGCAGTATTAATGCCCGGGTCGGGCGGGAAACACCGGTAACAGTCATCCTCATCACTACCAATCGCAGCATACATAGCAGAGAGAATAGCATCAAAATCAAGATCATAAATAGCTACACCAGCCCTAGACAGCTCTCCCCAGCGGGGGATCTCAGCTGCCTCCGGAAACTGCTGACGCCAGGCGTCAGTCAGGCGGCCAAAGCAGCGGCGGGCTGTGTGGGCGCCTCCACACCTCTCCCCTGCACGGTCACCGGTGCGAAGAACGTAGGGGCAAGGACCAAGCGCACCACCACGCTGACGCTGCGAGTACCACTCACGGAGCTGCTGAGGGGCGGGGACGGTGCGAGAGCGCTGCTGCTGCTGTGGCTGCTGCTGCGGCTGCTGCTGCTGCTGCTGCTGGCGCTGACCACCCCCAGAGCTGCTCCGCTGGGACGAGCCACTCCGACCCCCGCCTCCACCGCCACCCCCGCCTCCACCGCCACCCCCGTCTCCACCGCCACCTCCCCCACCAGGACCGTCGCTCCCACCGCTCCCACCGCCTCCTCCGCTACCACCTCCGCCGCCACCTCCGCCTCCACCGCCGCCACCAGTACCTCCACTCCCGCCACCACCCCCACCGCCACCCCCACTCCCCCCGCCACCCCCACCGCCTCCTCCACCGCCCCCTCTAGCTCCACCCGCTCCCTTGCTCCCCTTGCCCTTGCCAGAGCGGCGTCTGCCGCTGGGGGCAGACGTCGCGCCGACCGACTCAAAACCAATGAGGTCGGCCGCAGCGGCAGAGGCGACAGAGGGCAGCAGGGGGGAAGGACCACACCCCTCAAAGATGGGGGTGCGAGGGTCACCCCGAGAGGCCCCTACAGCGACAATACTCTTCTCAGCCGCTAGCAGGGACTCCTCAAGGAGGTCGACAGTGAGAGTGGTGGGACAGACAGAGAGAAACTGGTCCCTAACGACACGAAGGGACTCAGGGAGACGGGTGACGAGAAAGTAGAGAGTGATGTACATGGGAGGAGGGTTCGCAGCGCGGAACTCAGCAGGAAGGGCAGCGCGGTAGCGGGTGTCACTAGCACGGAGGTGGGTAACGAGGTCAGTGACAGTGGGAAAGGAAGCGAGGTCAGGGAAGAGAAACGGTAGCATGAGGCGGCTAAGGGTAGCGGAGGAAGGGGAGGAGTAGCGTGCAACTACAGCGTCGTACAAGGCCTGAGCGGTCTTGCACTGACTAAAGTGGGCACGCTCAGAGGAAGGGAGGTGGCGACGCACAGCAAGACGTGCAGCAGCATCGCGGGTCGCCCACTTGGAGCGAACGGCAGAGTCAGCATCAGCAGGTGGGGCAGGGACAGCGCCAGAGACAAAGTCAAAGAGAGAGACCTCATCTATCGCATCACACAGTAAGTACAGCTGCAGGTCTTCAATCCAGACGGCAAAGTCAATGGCCCTCCCCTCAGCGTCAAAAGTAAGAACATTGGGGGTGGCCATGGCAGCAGCTGAAAGTCTCACCGGGCTGGGAGAGTCGGGTAGGTCAGCAGCAGAGGAACACAGCTCAGGAACAGCAGCACGGCTCCTCAGGCGGCTCGGGCGGCTCGGGCGGCTCGGGCGGCTCGGGCGGCTCGGGCGGCTCGGGCGGCTCGGGCGGCTCGGGCGGCTCGGGCGGCACGGGCGGCTCGGGCTGCTCGGGCGGCGGCTCGGCCGCAGCTCAGCGGCGGCTCGGCGGCGGCTCGGGCGGCGGCTCAGGTGGCCCGGGCGGCGGCTCAGGCGGCGGCGGCGGCTCGGCGGCGGCTCGGCTGCTGCTGGGCGGCTCAGCGGGGCCGCGTAGCAGAGGGTGGCGGTGCCGCGTAGCAGAGGGTGGCGGGGCCGCGTAGCAGAGGGCGGCGGGGCCGCGACCGAAGAGGGCGGCGGGGCCGCGTAGCAGAGGGCGGCGGGGCCGCGTAGCAGAGGGCGGCGGGGCCGCGTAGCAGAGGGCGGCGGGGCCGCGATCGAAGGGCGGCGGGGCCGCGTAGCAGAGGGCGGCGGGGCCGCGTAGCAGAGGGCGGCGGGGCCGCGTAGCAGAGGGCGGCGGGGCCGCGTAGCAGAGGGCGGCGGGGCCGCGTAGCAGAGGGCGGCGGGGCCGCAATCGAAGGGCGGGGGGGCCGCGTATCAGAGGGCGGCGGGGCCGCGTGGCAGAGGGCGGCGGGGCCGCGTAGCAGAGGGCGGCGGGGCCGCGATCGAAGGGCGGCAGCGGGGCCGCGTAGCAGAGGGCGGCGGGGCCGCGATCGAAGGGCGGTGGGGCCGCTAGGGAAGGGCGGCGGAGCCGCTAGGGGAAGGGCGGCGCAACGGGCCGCTAGGGGCGACACGACGGGTCGCTAAAAAAAACGCGCCTCGGGGCGCGGTTCGGTGGGCCCTAGAAGCAGTCCCTAGGAGGGAACCTGCTCTGATTCCATGTGAAATCAAAGAACGAGAATGAATGACTATGAAGTGAAGTGAATACAAATAGGAAACCCTAATTGTGTTGTACCCCCTATGGGATACCCCACTATAGCCTACAGAAACAAGTAAGCTATATGTTCTGACAGGCCACGTACCCCTTTTCACAATACAAAATTTTAGAAAGTGTTACATTTCATTACACTTTCAAAAATTATCATTTATAAAAAACCTTTTCCATCAGGGTTTTCCGCAATGCAGGGCCTCAGAAGTCAGCGAAAAAAGGCTGATTTAGGGTCTAGACGCTGATTTCCCAGACATATGGCTGATGTGTTGGCTGATAATTCAGTTTTTTTTTAATTGTGTTGGCTGATTCTTCAGGTTTTTTTTTTTAAGTATTGGCTGATTTTCCAGCGTTTTTTTACAAGTGTCCGCTGATTGATCAGACTTGTAACGAGAGTGTAGGCTGGACTCACGCTATTACAGATTCGTGCCGGAGCCATGTTTTTCAGCTGTCCAGGTACATCCACCGTCAATCACCCAAAAGTAGCCACGTACAGCGCCGACGCGGCGGGAAAACGAATTTCCCCGACGAGTCGGTTGCTTCGTTGTCACCGACAGAATGCTTCAATTGATGTGATTGGTTGTTTAACCAATCACATCCCTTATGCGCCATTCACCAACCACCAGGGCAGCACAGCACAGCACCTGCTAAACTTAATGAACAAAGTGCTTAAACATAGATCAGCCTGCATTTTTTAGTGAGGCTGATTAGTCAGCGTTTTTTTAGGTGACTTGTCTGAAAAATCAGAATTTTTTTTTGAACCAACTCTGATTGATCAGCCTAGCGTAGCCTGCTAAGGCTGACGTCTCAGCCAAGCTAAAAACGAATCTGAGGCCCTGCCGCAATGTTGTAAAATCTACCCTGTCGCATCAGTGTTCTTAAATAACAAACCCTGGTCAATGGTGGCCCACTGAGTGCCAGCACATGCGTTGTCAAGGCCGAAATTCCGGCTTCGACAGTTGGCAATCGGAAATCCCGGGTTACAGGAAAGGGGGGGTGGGGGTACTGGGGGGGCGGGGGGGTAGGGTACTCGTTTAAGGGTAAAACTCGTTATGGGATTCGGGAACCCATAGTCATCAGTGTGCCTTAAATGTAAACCCTGGCATATCAGGGAGAACCTAGCTCCTACAAAAATTACCCGGGGCCATCAGTGTGACTACCAGAAACCACCCTGATTATCAGGGTATCAGGGTGATTTACCCTGGTAAAATTTCCCCTGCTTGGCTGAGCTCCTCTTGTGTGCCGTAAAATAGCACATCTGTCTTATCTCCACTCCATGTGTTGACAGCACACAACGGGTGGGTACTGTGACAACGTACGGTAGTAATGCTAATTGTCCTGCTACTGTATATCCACTACAACACGACCCTGGGTCGTCTGCCCCATCTTCCTATAACAAACCCCCCCCCTGTCACTCCGCTGGCTGTCACTCCCGCCAGCTGTCACTCCCGCCAGCTGTCACTCCCGCCAGTGGCCCCGCCTCCCTGCTGCCCTCAGCATCTCCTTGTGCCGTGCAAACGCCACTCTGCCCACGTCCCCAAATAAAGCACCCCCACCACTGCCACCACCAGCACCACCAGCAGGACCAGGAGCAGCAGCAGCAGGCGGAAAGCTCCCCCCAGCAGCCCTTGTTGCCATGTGCTCCAGACTGAACGAACCCTGCACACCCCCCACCTCATGCACACACGCTGCTTGAGGGATCCCCACTGCCCCAAACAGCCCCCATCTGCCGCCCCTTTTCATGGAAGCTTCCTCATAGCTTGCATTGCCAACGCCGCTGTGCTCTGCTCCACCAATGATGGCGAGACACCTGTCCACACAGAGGTCCAGATCACCAGGAGACGGCTCAGGGGTGACGGAGCGAGATCTGCTGTCAACACGCCTCTCTGACCGACTCTCAGCGCACTGCCACGGGTGCAGCTCTGCTGCTGATCCCTGTATGCAGCCTCCACATGCCCGGCTGCTCTCAGTGCCCCTCCTTGCCAACCCCGGCACAGCCCTGCCAGCCAACCCCGGCACAGCCCTGCCAGCCAACCCCGGCACAGCCCTGCCAGCCCCCCCAGTGCATGGCTGGTGGAGTGAGCTTGTGGTCTCTGGAGGGGAAACGGGGGGTGGTGGAGTAATACGAGCTGCTGCAGGAGCGGGAATCGCGGCAGTAGATGCAGAAGCATGGCGCACAGTCGCAACAGCACACCCATCCCCTGCCACACCTGCCTTTCCTCTTTCCCCCCCTCCTCCTGTCCCTCCTTTTCCTTTTGTCCCACAGTCGCCCTCATCTCGGTCATCTCCCCCATCTCTCCATCGCCCCGCCTCGATCCCTTGACTCAACCCGCGACTGGCGGACCATACAACGGGGCGGGCACCTTCACATGCCGAGCTGCACGCACCACATTCACAGCCTTCCCTGCCAGCAGCACACTCCGGCTCTTCCCCACCCCTAGCACGCTCACATGCGGCAGCGCCCCTTCCACAAGCCCTGCTTTTGTCCACACCGCTTCCGAAGAACTCTGCTGCACTCAGGCGCCGCCGCCCACCCGCTGTGCTCCTGCCTGCACTCCCTGGCACTGCTGGCAGCACAGGCGGCACGGGCAGCACAGGCGGCACGGGCAGCACGGGTGGCACGGACAGCACGGGCAGCACGGGCAGCAGCGGCAACAGAGGCATCAGAAGCACGGGCGAGTCACTGTTGCCCACCTTTACATGTCCAGCCATCGCCCCACCAGCCTCACCACTCGCCGGACTCGCACACACCACACACTCCACGGCCCCACCCCCATCCCCACCCCCTCTCCCACCAGGCTCATACTTGCCCGCGCTCTCACATGCACCTCCCCCTGCCGCCACCGCCACTGCTTTCACCCGCTTCCTGCGCTGCCCTGCATGCTGTGGGCCCAACGCCCACCCATCGCCTCTGCCGCACCCACTATCCCTGTCGCTGGTTCTTACAGCATCCGCCCTCTCCCCGTCTATCCCTCCACCTCTCGTCTTATCCTCCTCCGCCCCTCCGCACCGCACTGCATCGCTTCCTTCGCCAGCATGCCTCTCTCTCACCACCGCACGCTCCCTCCTCCCGTCCCCACTCTTCCGCGAATCCCTCTCTACCCCTTTCTCCTCCCTCCTCCTTTTCCCCTTCCTCCCCCTTTCCACCTCCCTCCTTTCTCCCTCCTTGCCCCTTTCCCCCTCCCTCCTTTCCCCCTCCCTCCTCCTTTCTCCCTCCCTCCCCCCTTCCCCCTCTCTCCTCCGTTCTACCCCCTTCCGCCGATTCCGCTCCGACTCGCGTTCGGCGCGCATCTCCCCTTCCGTCATCATTCTCTCCCGTTTACCCGTCATTCCGCCGTCAATCCTGGCCGGCAAATGGCCCATTTTCCAAACGGAATCCGTCAGAACGAGGTCTATCAGCTCCTCCTTCAAACGCCCGCAACCGGCGGTCGTGCTTTGGGGGGGAGTTTTGGAACCAAGAGCGGCGGAAGAAGCGGCGTTCCTTGCGGCGGAAGTTGTGCGGCGAGTAAATGCGGCGGGAGGGGCAGCGGGAGGTCGGCGCGCGGGGGGAAGGGGGAGGGAGAGCGGGAGGCCGAGGAGGGCGGCGAGCAGCCTAAGCGCGCCGATGGAGAGGCGCCTCAAGCCGGCCACGCGCGGCCGACCCGCTTCCAGCAAGCCACGGCGAAGGTCCTGTGAAGAGCAGAAGTTTACAGAGAAAAAAAGAAAGAGACAGAATTTAAAAAGTCGAGAAAAAAAAGGCAAGCAACACAAGTTGCCTAGGGTTGTCACAACGTTAGAAACGACTCCAGAATAAAAATAGGGGAGTAGAGGAGAGATGTGAAGAACGTCTGTTACGAAACACACCGCGATCATCGGCGAGGACTGCGCGCTCATCTGCGACGCGATAAGCGCCAACGAGTCAAGCGGAGTAACGTTAGCAGGCAGCCAGACGCGGGTGTTGACGAGATGCAACTCTTCGCCCGCCTTTTTCGCGAATGGCGTTCCCTGCTTCGCCAGGGTGCCCGCGTCGCACGCAAAGGATCGCAGGGCGTCGCCGTAAACAACTTCGTTCGTGAGCCGTCGCACGCCTTCACCTAGCTGCTCCAAGTCTGTTATCTGACAACTACGAGTCCGATTCCTGCTTGCGGCCTTGCGACGCGTTCGAGACTCCATTATCAAAACACGTCGCTGCCAAGACACCGTCGCGTCGCGCGATCCTACAGGCTAGCCGAAAAGAAGTTGCAAGGCTACTCTTTTGACAACACTCACCCTCGCAACAAGCATGCAAGAGCGTTGGTTTGACAAACGTGCAATGTCACACGTGGCTGGGCTGGGGTTGTAGTGCTGAAGGGGCGCTGCGCTTTGCACCGCTTTTTTTTGGGTTGCGAAGCAACCTATTACAATCGTTATGTACAATTTTTTTTTCAATCCTCAATACCTTTAAAAAATAAAGGAGGGAAAAAATATAGTGAACGGTACTAGCCAAATGACTGACTGCTATGTATCTGCCGCGTCAATTTACCACGTGCTGAACCACATTCCTTCTCATTTCCTAGTTTACTTTGACTGAACCTATATTTCATGAGTTGCCAAAATGATGTACTGTGAACGCATAACTGTTTATTCCGTGATGCATATGTCTGCTGTTGTTATAAGTAGATGAAGTAAATGCAAATGCATAAGTATAGTGCATATACGGTACTATCGGTACCGTAATGAAATAAATGCACAGCATGATGGAAGTGCGTAACAGTTAATTGGCGCAGACCCTATGCTACCGCATCCCCTGCCTAGCATGGGGGGGAGCTCAATAGCATAATTTCTGAATCATCCAACTGTTACATGAAACAACACAATCTGTGTGATCTAAAAAACGGGTCAATTCCATCAAATCCAGTTCGAATGGACACACTCACTGAGTGCGCAAAGAACCTTCTCGGAAATGATAGTTTGATCCCAATTTTTAAACCCCACAGACATGTGTTATTAATGCAATGGAAACATGAATGAAAACGCATACGCACACAACACAACGCATACACATGATCATACACATTCACACAGACACGCACGCACGAAGCCAACTGACAAAGCATATTAACCGCATATGAAATAGAAACCTAAATCACCAAGACATTATGTATCCTATACTGTAAGTCACAAGCAATATCAGTCTACTTCTCATATTGAGCTCGACTGCCTGGAAAGTAAGACAAAGCTGGGTTGAGGAAGGGAAGGCAAATGGGAAATAACAAGGCATAATGAAATTACAAGAAAAAGGAATAATGAAGAAACAAATGAAACAATACAAGGGCCAAGAAAAACGCCATGAGCATTGAAGGGTTAGAGCTGACAAATAACAAGGAGAAAATGTACTAAGGCATAAAACGAAAGTAAAGAACGAGAACAAAGGGAAAAACACATAACCAGACAGTAAACGAACGAAGAGAATATAACAAATACGTTGAGCGAGAACAACGGAGACCGAGAGCGAGAGCGAGAGAGAGAGAGAGAGAGAGAGAGAGAGAGAGAGAGAGAGAGAGAGAGAGAGAGAGAGAGAGAGAGAGAGAGAGAGAGAGAGAGAGAGAGAGAGAGAGGACGAGAGAGCGAGAACGAGAGAGTGGACGAACGAGAGAGAGCGAACGAGAGATTTGACAAAAGAGAACGAGAGAACGACAGAGACGGAACGAGAGAGAGAGAGAGAGAGAGAGAGAGAGAGAGAGAGAGAGAGAGAGAGAGAGAGAGAGAGAGAACGAGAGAGAGAACCAGAGAGAGAACGAGAGAGAGGGAACAAGAGAGAGGGAGAACGAAAGAGAGAGAGAGAGAGAGAGAGAGAGAGAGAGAGAGAGAGAGAGAGAGAGAGAGAGAGAGAGAGAGAGAGAGAGAGAGAGAGAGAGAGAGAAAGAAAGAAAGAGAGAGAGAGAGAACGAGAGAGAGAGAGAGAGAGAGAGAGAGAGAGAGAGAGAGAGAGAGAGAGAGAGAGAGAGAGAGAGAGAGAGAACGAGAGAGAAAGAAAACGAGAGAGAACGAGAAAGAGAACGAGAGAGAGAACGAGAGAGAGAAAACGATAGAGAGAGAACGGGAGAGAGAGAACGGGAGAGAGAGAACGGGAGAGAGAGAACGGGAGAGAGAGAACGAGCGAGAGAGAACGGGAGAGAGAATGGGAGAGAGAGAACGAGCGAGAGAGAACGGGAGAGAGAGAACGGGAGAGAGAGAACGGGAGAGAGAGAACGGGAGAGAGAGAACGAGCGAGAGAGAACGAAATGGACTGAACATGCAACCTATTACAATCTTTATGTACAACCTAAGACGAGGTTGAGAAAAAAATGAACTAAAACATGCAAATATGAAGAAAAGGCAACCGACGAGAGGAAAAGTTTAAGGATGAAGAATAGAAGAAACAGATGCAAGCTTATGCAGGAAGGAGAACCTGGAATCTTTACAAAGGGCCGAGAACCTAAGTTTAAACAACTAAGTCTCGCTAATACTCATCCATTTACACGGCTAGGATACGGAATGACTAAATGTTAGTCTATCTAATAGGCATCTAATTTAGTTGGAGTTAAAGTTGAGGGATCTTCTTACCTAAGTTGCAGTTAGACTAGGTGGAGAAGTTGGTAGAGCGTGACGAGCGAGAAGGAGAAGCGGGAGAAAAAAAGGGCAAACGAACCCTAAGGTAGTCTCAGATTCGTCGCAATTATTTATGCCTTTATAATTCAGCTATTCGAGGTGAACATCCGTGCTGTAGCAGTGGTACAAGGCTCAAAGTGAAATCGAAAGGTCTTTAGTTCGAATCCCATTCGCGCTGACATTTGACCTTTTCCTGGTGAGAGGAAGTACCACTTAGTGTCATACAACAGCATAATGTACAGAATTAGAAGTTGTACAAATTTATATAATTATGCAAAACGCTTCGCAACCTAAAGACGAATTCGTCGCCTCTTGTTTTGGGTTGCGAAGCAACCTATTACGATCGTTATGTACATTTTTTTTTTCAATCCTCCATACTTCAAAAAATAAAGGATGGAAAAAATCTAGTGAACGGTACTAGCTAAGTGACTGACTGTTATGTATTTGCTGCGTTAATTTACCACGTGCTGAACCACATTCCTTCTCATTTCCTAGTTTGTTTTGACTGAACCTATATTTCATGAGTTGCCAAAATGATGTACTGTGAACGCGTAACTGTTTATTTCGTGATGCAAATGTCTGATGCTGTTATGCGTGAAGTAAATGCAAATGCATAAGTATAATGCATATACTACCGGTAGTGAAATTAATGCATAGCATGATGGAAATGCGTAACAGTTAATTGACGCAGACCCTATGCTACCGCGTCCCCTGCCTAGCATGGGGGGGAGCTCAATAGCATAGTTTCTGAATCATCCAACTGTCAAACATTATATCTAATGTTGTAGTTGTTTAGGCTGCAGTGGGTTAGCCTATAGGGGGTACACACTTCTAGGTTTCCACATTTGTACTCATTCGTTCTTAGTCATTCAATTCCTCGTTCAACATGGTATAGAGCAGGTCCTTCCTAGGACCGTTTTTCCTAAGGGCCCACCACTACCTACCTGCCTATCTGCCTACCTGCCCTAGGGCGCCTCGACGTTCACGCCTCTAGAGGCCCTGTAGGCCCCGCGCTGTTGCACCTAGAGGCCCCGAATCGGCCCCGCGCCTAACCCTAACGGCCCGCGTCGGCCCCGAGCTCGTCCCCTAGAGGCCCGCGTCGGCCCCGCGCCTACCCTAGAGGCCCGCGTCGGCCCCGAGCCTACCCCTAGAGGCCCGCGACGGCCCCGTCCTTACCCCTAGAGGCCCGCGACGGCCCTGTCCCTACCCCTAGAGGCCCGCGACGGCCCCGATCCTACCCCTAGAGGCCCGCGTTGGCCCCCCGATCCTACCCCTAGAGGCCCGCGTTGGCCCCGTCCCTACCCCTAACAGCCCGCGTCGGCCCCGTCCCTACCCCTTACAGCCCGCGTCGGCCCCGTCCCCAACCCCACCCGCTCCCCGCGCTCCCCTTAGCCACCTCGAACGGCCCCACCTAGACTGCGCCGCCCGCACCGAACAGCCCGGCCCTAACGGAACCGAGCCGCCTGAACCGAGCCGCCCGACCCGAGCCGCGCCGCCCGACCCGAGCCGCCCAAACCGAGCCGCGCCGCCCGACCCGAGCCGCGCCGCCCTACTTGTACCGAGCCGCGCCGCCCTACCTACCTACTGCTCCTGCTGCTTTTACTACTGCTACTACCATGGCTAGCCCTCCAGTGCTAGCCTTCGATGCTGAGGGGCACCCAGTGAAGTTCGACACCTGGCTTGATGACCTCCACCTCTTCCTACAGCTCACTGCCAAGGAAGACATCTCGCTGTACGATCACGCCCTAGGCCACGCTACTGCTCCTGCTGCTACTGCCGACAGCACTGCTCGCTCACAGTGGCAGACTCGTGACGCCCATGCTCGTTTCGCTATCCGCAACTCTCTGCCGATAGATGAGCGCGAGCACTTTGGGCAGCACAAGACTGCACAGGCACTGTACACTGCTGTCATTGCCCGCTACTCCTCACCGGCCTCTGCTGCTCTAGGCCGTCTCTCTCTTCCCTACCTGTTCCCCGACTTAGCTTCCTTTCTCACTGTCGCTGACCTCATTACCCACCTCCGCACTAGTGAGGCTCGCTTCCGCGCCGCTATGCCTGATGAGTTCCTCGCCAAGAACCCACCCCCGCTCTGGATCACTCTCTACCACCTAGTCACGCGCCTCCCTGACTCGCTGCGCTCAGTCAGGGACCACTTCCTCGCTTGTTGCCCCACCGAGCTCACCATTGCCCTCCTCGAGAAGGAACTCCTTGCAGCCGAGACTAGCATAGTCGCTGTAGGTGCCTCTCGCGGTGACCCCCGCACCCCGTTCTTTGAGGGGTGTTCTCCCTCCCCCCTTCTTCCCTCTGTCGCCTCTGCTGCTGCTGTCGACCTCCTTGGTGCTGAGAAGGTCGGGACTGCGTCTGCTTCGGGCGGACGCCGCAGCGGCAAGGGCAAGGGGGGCAAGAGCGGTGGTGGTGACAGCGGGGGTGGCGGTGGTGGGGGAGGTGGTGGCGGGGGGAGTGGCGCGGGTGGGGGAGGTGGCAGCGGTGGTGGGGGTGGCGGCAGCGGCGGGGGAGGTGGCCGGGGCGGAGGAGGTAGTGGGGGTGGCGGTGGACGAGGCGGCGGCAGGGGTTGGGGTGGTCGAGGAGGTGGTGGCGGGAGTGGTGGGCGTGGCGGCACTGGCGATGGCCAGGGACAGCAGCACACTCCCTCGCCCCAGGAGGTCCGTGAGTGGTACTCTCAGCACGGGGGGGGGGGGGGTGGCCTTAGCTGCACGTACGTCATTCGCACTGGTGACCGCACTGGCCAGCCGTGTGGGGGACTGCACGCCACACAGCGTTGCTTCGCTCGTCTGAGCGACGCTTGGCGTGTTCAGTTCCCTCAGGCCACTGAGCTGCCCCGCTGGCTTGATCTCCTGAAGAAGGGGATTGATATCTATGCTCTAGACTTTGATGCTATTCTCTCTGCCATGTATGTGATGTCTACTAGTGGAGAGGGTTCTGAGTACCTGAGTGTCCCGCCCGACCCGGGCATTAGGACGAGTGCGTCTGCTACTCCAGGTACCCACGTGTCTGCTACCCCAGGTGCTGGTGAGGCTGCTGCTCTAGGTGCGTGCGTGTCTCCCCCCCCTGGTACTGTGTCGACTGCAGCACTGCACACCTTCACGCTGCATTCAGGTGCCTCTCGCTGTTTCTTTCGTGACCGCACTGCCCTTGAGCCCCTTGCTCGGCCAGTTGCTGTCTCCCTTGCTGACCCCTCTGGGGGTCCGGTCATTGCGACCTCCTCCACTGTCCTTCCCTGCCCTGCGGTCCCGTCGGGCACACTGTCAGGTCTCCACCTCCCCTCGTTCTCCACGAACTTGGTGGCAGGTTCTGCTCTCCAGGACGGGGGTGTTCACCAGTTCACCCCTGCCTACGAGCGTGTGACACACTGCACGTGTGCTCGTACGGGCCGCCACTTGGCTACCTTCACCCGGCAGCCGGGGTCGGACCTGTACACACTGACTACTGCCTCCCCTCAGGTCGCTGCGTCTGCGTCTGCGTTTGCGTCCGCGTCAGGTCAGCTGTCTGCCCCCTGCTCGTGTCGCTCTCTAGCGCACGAGACTGTCCTCTGGCACCACCGACTTGGCCACCCGTCTGTGCAGCGCCTTCGTGCCATGCACTCCCGGTACCTTGTCTCTGGTCTTCCCAGGGTTCTCCCTCCTCTCCCACCCTCGCCTGCTCCTCCCTGCCTTCCCTGTGTCGAGGGGCGGCAGCGCGCCGCTCCTCACTCCTCCTCGTTTCCCCCGACGACTGCTCCTTTGCAGACGCTCCACATGGACGTGTGGGGCCCAGCCCGCGTCCGTGGTCAGGGTCAGGAGAGGTACTTCCTGATCGTTGTTGACGACTACTCGCGCTACACCACGGTCTTCCCCTTGCGCACCAAGGGTGAGGTCCCTGATGTTTTGATCCCTTGGATCCGCAGAGCTCGTCTCCAGCTCAGCGAGCGTTTCCGCTCGGACTTTCCTGTCCTGCGCTTGCACTCTGACAGAGGTGGTGAGTTCTCCTCCGACCTCTTGGCAGCCTACTGTGCTGAGCACGGCATTGAGCAGTCGTTCACGCTTCCGGCCTCTCCACAACAGAATGGGGTTGCGGAGCGCCGCATTGGCCTGGTCATGGAGGTCGCTCGTACCTCCTTGATCCATGCGGCTGCCCCTCATTTTCTGTGGCCGTTTGCGGTCCGGTACGCTGCGCATCAGCTCAACCTCTGGCCCCGTGTCTCCTTGCCGGAGACCTCGCCCACACTGCTGTGGACGGGGGAGGTTGGCGATGCGTCGCGTTTCCGGGTCTGGGGATCTCGAGCTTTTGTTCGCGATTCGTCTGCGGACAAGCTCTCCTCTCGTGCTGTTCCCTGCGTCTTCCTCGGCTTTGTTCCGGACGCACCTGGTTGGCAGTTTTACCACGCCACCTCGCGCCAGGGTCTTGCCCTCTCAGGACGTCACTTATGACGAGTCTGTCCCCTACTACCGCCTCTTCCCCTACCGCACTTCCCCGCTCCCTCCCCCGCCTCTCTTCCTCGCGCCAGGTGCTGGTGTTGTAGACCCCCTCCCCCCTCAGGGTGCCGCTCTCTCAGGTGTGTCTCAGGTAGACCCGGTCGAGCCTGTTGAGGTTGCTGTCGACTCTCGTCCTGCTGGGAGTGCTGAGCCTGGGGGTGCGGACACTGGGGG